GGTGATGAAGAGCAGGTCGGCGCAGAAGAGGTTGAGGACCAGGCAGTTGGCAGCGCACAGCCGGGGCCGCCGCCGCACCAGCAGGCAGATGCCCCAGATGTTTCCCGCCAAGGCCAGCAGGAAGATGGAGGCCAGGACAGACGACTCGCCAATGCGCAGGGCCGTCACACGGTGGCCCCTGAAGTCCGAGAAGAAGGGGAAGTAGGTCTTGTTCCCCCCTGGCGTGCCCCCTGACCCCAGCATCGGGGTGGCCAGTGGGCATGAGACCCACTGCAGGCGGTGCCCCAGCCCTACGGGAAGGGCTGCGTTCCCAACCACCACGGTGGCACCCCGGGTGCCCTCCCGGCACGGACTGAGGGGCTGGCCGCCATCCCGCTCCCTCCTCTTCCTCCTGCCTGTGCCTCCAAGGGTTCGGCCGTGCCAGCCGGGTGGTTTATGGCCCTCGTGCTGGACTGGAACAAGGAAGTGGGAGGGTAAACAAGGCACAGCTCACATAAGGGTGAGGCTGCCGTGCGTGAGGATACAGCAAGGGGCCTGGGGCAAGCAGGGCTGCCTGACACCTCCCCGGGGTGGGCATGGGCCAGAGTGCTGCCATCTCCATGCTGAGGGTCCCAGGCCTGGCCACCTCCTCCAGAGCAGTCCCTGGCCTGTCCTGCTCTCCAGGCAGGCCCCTGGGGCACCAGTGACCTGGGGAAGCTGCCCAGGATGAACCCCTTGACTGGGTGTGTGTGCGTGGTTTGAATAGAGGGTTGGCTCTCACACCTCTCTGAGAGCTCTTTTCAAAAGCCCAGGATAACTAGCATTTACCCCTTGCCTCATGTCTTGGCAGTGGTACATGGAAACAGCAGTCCTGTGCTAACTGTGGTCTGGTGTGGAGGGCAAGTGTCACTGTCTTTGTTTTTGGTATCTGTTCACTAAACTGATCCGTCTTACCTGCCTGTGTTACAAGTTCTTGCTGAAGAAGCCTGGTAAATTAAGACATACCTAGAAAATAACGAATTTTCTATGGAGTTCAGTTCCTAAAAGTGGTTGGTAAATCTGTAAATTAAAGTAGGCCTTTCCATTTACTGTCTTCATTCCAGGTGGTTTAGAAATGTACTGGGAGTGAAGCACATAAATTGTCACAGAAAGCAGGTAATGTCTCATAAAAAAAAGATAAAATGTTTTCGTAAAGTATGCAAACAGTTGTATAACTTGAGATGGCTCTAATGAATCTGTTTGACGCGGTGCCACAGTCAGTGGTTAAGGGTGCAGTTAGTGGCTTGGCCGTATGGAGCTGCTCCTTTTGATTAGGGGAGAGTTGTTCCAAACCTGTGTGCCAGTGGGACCAGGTGACCGGGCAGCACTTCTGTGGTACCTGGGTGTGACCCTGCTATCAACTGCTTACGCAATGGCATTAGTGGGGATTCCAGATTAGTGGGGATTCCAGAAACTTGGTCCTTCTAAGGGGCAATCTCCTAATGAGGAGTGACAAGAGTAAGATCTTTCCTGGACTGCTTCCCACATCTTTGGCAGTGCAGAATGTACATTTATTTGAATTAGCATGTTTTCTTTTGGGCTGTAAGTGGTTCTAACTATCTGTGCTGTCTCATCAAAGTGAGTTGTCAGGACAGCTTAAACAGATGGATGAGACACTCCTACTAATTCCTGCCGATTTCTTTGGACAGTATGTAATGTGGGCAGATTTGCTGCTAAGTGGGTGGCTGCTGTGAGCTATGAACTCAAATTAAGACAAAAAGAGAACTTGCAAAGGTTATTTTTTGGCAGCCAGCAACACGAATGACTGGCAAGTGTCTCAAAACTAATATTTTATTCTATTTTATTTGCTGGGAGAAAAAACTGTGTACCCATATTGCAAAAGTTTCAGCAAATTTAGTAGAACTTTTGAGGATTGTTATTCCTAGTTATGATGAAAATTTGATGGATCTTTCCACAATTTATTTTGGCTGTGCTACGGGCTGATTCTGTAAAATGATTAGCAAATCTTGAAATATAGCAGGTGCATTCCAGTTGCCAGAACCTCACAAGTCTGGGACATTATGCAGTCTGACAAGCTAGCCCTGAAGTTCTGGGCAGCTGGCAACAGCAGG